TTCAAAAGCTTAGGAATGGGGACTCGACATTGACCGTTGACTTCTTTCTAGCCTCCTCTAAGAGGGATGAGCTGCATTTTACCTAAATTACATTTAGCTACTTCTGTTTATCTATCTTTTTACGGCAGGGCTTCATTAATAAACGTAAGCCGTCGACTTCCTCGTAGCTTCCATCTTCGTTGCAATAAAGGAGCGGAAAATGAGCACATCAAACCAGTTGCTACGTCGAAAAGATAAATCCCACATATCTCACGGTTCAAAAGACTAAAAAAAGCCAGCGGTCTACATCGTCTGTCCATGATAGCTTTTTCGCGCGTTTACTGCTTACAGGGCCATTTTGCTTTCCGGCTTCAAAACCACTTTCACTCTTCAAGGGAGCGGATCTCCAAGACCCACTTCACCTGGAAATCTCGGTCCCTCTATCGCAAGACGTCATTCGTCTAGCCAGCTCGGTGCGGTGTGTGTTACTGCACACAATTTTGGAATCTCAGATGAGGTGCTGAAGTCCCAACATGCGACTAACACCAAGTACGCAAGTGTGGCTCAAATTTGAAAGCAAACTGCCCGCTTTTATATCTTGATGGTTGCTTTTTGTTTTCAGTCTTGCACGTTCCAATTTTCGACAACTTGCTAGCTTCATACGTCGTAGGTGCCGTAGATCGAATGACTCAAACTTATTACTTTTGCTTACAGGTAAGGGAGGCAGATGGGCAATCGTACAGTTTGAAGTAAGTCTGTCTTCAGTACTGTCTTATGTGATTATCTCTTAGACAGTACGACTTCCTTTTCATTGGTATAGAAAATTTTGGTTTTTTGTGCAGAGTATTCTATGAGAAGCTATTCTCAAGTCAAAGTTCTACTACTATCTCTATAAAATAAAGGCGATGATTCATGTTATGTCGCGTTAAAGATACACAACCAGGGTCGTTGTTTAAAGACGGAGACGGGCTGAAGGCTGTCTCCGTCTGCATACAACGACCCTGGTCGTAAAACTTGAAGACTCTCCACCATTATAGAACTGCTGAGAAAAGTTGAACAAAATTTCCGACTACAGAGTGACGGCGCACACCTACGCCACCATTGATTGTGCCACGAACGTATTCGATGGTGCGACTGGAGAAATTATCAAGAAGAAGAAAGAAGAAGAAGAAAGTACAAGTTATAGAAGTGTACGCGTCTTGAAGACCCGCACCTGGAAAATCTACTGCTACTGCCATAAATGCATTCCGTGGACTACCATCATCACACAGATGGACAGAGACCACGACACATGTATCCGTACCATAGAGCAGGTATGGCTCCTCATGCCGAAACATCGTATCCAGGATCAACAGCACCTCAGGAAGAAACTTAATGCTAGCCCTTCGTCTGTCGCCCCGAGATCGCCCTGCCCTCCAGCTGGCAGGAGATGGAGAGCGAAAACATTGATTCAAAACTACAAAGAGTCTTCAAATTAAATTAGTTGTTAATTATCGCAATTATCCAATTAATAATCGTACGCGTATATATTCCTTATATTCCTTATCCAGTAATTGTATAAGAATGCAGACTCAGACTCGAAAAAAGCAAGGGAAAATAACACATAGAGCCACACTCATAAGCAGAAGTATAACGTTCTAGTCACGGGTTTCACGTACATTCACGTACAGTTCACAATAAGAGCCTTTCTTCTGTTAGACGGACTTCTTTTAGTTATTTGTGACTGTTCAGACTTATCTATGCTTACCATTACATCATATCAAGCAAGGCTCAATTTTTATTAGAAACATTCTTGTGTCATGTGCAGTACAAGATAAGTGCAACAAGTGTTTTCATAAAGTCCGTACAAGATTTCTCGAATTTGTGCTCGTTGCTATTATCGCATTCTGCTTCTTAAAATGACACAATAGCTGCATGAAAACTTTTCTGAAACATGCTTTCTTTGATAACGCGACTTAACGTACAAGGCAAACCTGTATTCTGTGTTCCTCCACCAGTAAACAACAAAATTTGACGACACGTTCAGCGCCAGAAGAACTCCGAGGTAGTGATAGAATAGGTCCATGTAGTCGCTCAGTACAGGAAAAATCTAGAATTAAGTTCTT